CTACACTATAAACTACTATACACTATAAACTAATATACACTATAAACTACTATACACTACTACACTATAAACTACTATAAACTACTATACACTATAAACTACTACACTATGAACTACTATACACTACTACACTTTAAACTACTATACACTATAAACTACTATAAACTACTGTACACTATAAACTACTATACACTATCAACTACTATACACTACTATACACTATAAACTACTACACTATAAACTACTATACACTATAAACTACTATACACTACTACACTATAAACTACTATACACTATAAACTACTATACACTATAAACTACTACACTATCCACTACTATACACTACACTACCATACACAGGCTCGAGTTCTGCCTAGGGAATTCCCGGGCGTTCCCAGGCCAGGCGAGCGACATGGCCCGCCAGCAGCAGCAGCAGCAGCGTGGTCCTGGCCGAGGGTCAGGGGGAGTCTCCCGGGGGGGAGCTGGGGAGGGCTTCCTTACCTGGTGACAGAACCACCTCGAATGACCCCTCTCCAACTTCAGAGCCGGGGGGGGGGGTCGGCAACCTTTCAAAGACGGATAAGATAGAGCCGTAAACACTTTATTTGGAGCTTTCGTGACTGCAGGAATAATTACTCTTTGGTTCTCTCGGTAAAGCCACGTAAAAAGAAAAATAAATTAAATGATAGCATACGACGTTTCGATTGCAACACAAGCAATCATCATCAGGTACAAATGAAAGAGAAAACAAACCCAGTAAATCATATTCTTAGTTTTTTCGGTAAAGTCACGTTGAAGAGAAACAACAAAATACTAAAATATATATAAAACAATAAAAAAATTATCACGACGTTTCAACCATAACTCCTGAAGATGACCGTTTGAGTTATGGTCGAAACGTCGTGAGAATTTTTAATTGTTTTATATATATATTTTATTATTTTGTTGTTTCTCTTCAACGTGACTTTACCGAAAAAACTAAGAATATGAATTACTGCAGTCACGAAAGCTTTAAATCAAAATTTAAACCCAGTAAACTTAGAAATATAATGCAATACAACACAGAGAGTCGGCTAACACAACAGTCAACACCCCACCTGGTTGATTACGTTCTTGAAAAAATTGCTAAATTTGAGAGAGACAAAACACAGACAACGGAAACACACAGACATACATACACAAGCAGAGAGAGACACACAGAGAGAGACACACACAAGCAGAGAGAGAGACAACACAGACACACAGACAGACACACAAGCAGAGAGAGACAACACAGACACAGTCACACAAGCAGAGAGAGACAACACAGACACACAGTCACACAAGCAGAGAGAGACTCATACAGACACATAGACAGACACACAAGCATAGAGAGACAACACAGACACACAGACAGACACACAAGCAGAGAGAGACAACACAGACACACAGACAGAGACACACACAAGCAGAGAGAGACAACACAGACACACAGACAGACACACAAGCAGAGAGAGAGAGACAACACAGACACATAGACAGACACACAAGCAGAGAGAGACAACACAGACACACACACAAGCAGATAGAGACAACACAGACACACAGATAGACACACAAGCAGAGAGAGACAACACAGACAGACAGACAGACACACAAGCAAAGAGAGACAAAACAGACACACGGACAGACACACAAGCAGAGAGAGACAACACAGACGCACAGTAATACAAGCAGAGAGAGAGACTCACACAGAGACACACAAGCAGAGAGAGACAACACAGACACAGAGACACACACAAGCAGAGAGAGACAACACAGACACACAGACAGACACACAGGCAGAGAGAGAGAGAGACAACACAGACACATAGACAGACACACAAGCAGAGAGAGACAACACAGACACACACACAAGCAGAGAGAGACAACACAGACACACAGACAGGCACAAGCAGAGAGAGACAACACAGACACACAGACAGACACAAGCAGAGAGAAACAACACAGACACACAGACAGACACACAAGCAGAGAGAGAGACAACACAGACACACAGACAGACACACAAGCAGAGAGAGACAACACAGACAGACACACAAGCAGAGAGAGAGACAACACAGATACACAGACACAAGCAGAGAGAGACAACACAGACACACAGACAGACACACAAGCAGAGAGAGACAACACAGACAACACAGACACACACACAAGCAGAGAGAGGCAACACAGACACACAGACAGGCACAAGCAGAGAGAGACAACACAGACACACAGACAGACACAAGCAGAGAGAGAGAACACAGACACACAGACACACACAAGCAGAGAGAGATAACACAGACACACAGACAGACACACAAGCAGAGAGAGACAACACAGACACACAGACAGACACACAAGCAGAGAGAGATAACACAGACACACAGACAGACACACAAGCAGAGAGAGACAACACAGACACACACAAGCAGAGAGAGACAACACAGACACACAGACAGACACACAAGCAGAGAGAGACAACACAGACACACAAGCAGAGAAAGGCAACACAGACACACAGACAGGCACAAGCAGAGAGAGACAACACAGACACGCAGACAGACACAAGCAGAGAGAGAGACAACACAGACACACAGACAGACACAAGCAGAGAGAGACAACACAGACACACAGACAGACACAAGCAGAGAGAGATAACCGGCATAGCTCTTATAGGCGCATCGCACGCAGGGCTACTTGTACAGTGAGGGAAAAAAAGTATTTGATACCCTGCTGATTTTGTACGTTTGCCCACGGACAAAGAAATGATCAGTCTATAATTTTAATGGTAGGTTTGTTTGAACAGTGAGAGACAGAATAACAACAAGAAAAACGCATGTCAAAAATGTTATAAATAAATTTGCATTTTAATGAGGGAAATAAGTATTTGACCCCCTCTCAATCAGAAAGATTTCTCGCTCCCAGGTGTCTTTTATACAGGTAACGAGCTGAGATTAGGAGCACACTCTTAAAGGGAGTGCTCCTAATCTCAGCTTGTTACCTATATAAAATACACCTGTCCACAGAAGCAATCAATCAATCAGATTCCAAACTCTCCATAATGGCCAAGACCTAAGAGCTCTCCAAGGATGTCAGGGACAAGATTGTAGACCTACACAAGGATGGAATGGGCTACAAGACCATTGCTAAGCAGCTTGGTGAGAAGGTGACAATAGTTGGTGTGATTATTCGCAAATGGAAGAACCACAAAGAACTGTCAATCTCCCTCGGCCTGGGGCTCCATGCAAGATCTCACCTCGTGGAGTTGCAATGATCATGAGAACGGTGAGGAATCAGCTCAGAACTACATGGGAGTATCTTGTCAATGATCTCAAGGCAGCTGGGACCATAGTCACCAAGAAAACAATTGGTAACACACTACGTTGTGAAGGACTGAAATCATGCAGCACCCGCAAGGTCCCCCTGCTCAAGAAAGCACATATACATGCCCGTCTGAAGTTTGCAAATGAACATCTGAATGATTCAGAGGACAACTGGGTGAAAGTGTTGTGGTCAGATGAGACCAAAATGGAGCTCTTTGGCATCAACTCAACTCGCCGTGTTTGGAGGAGGAGGAATGCTGCCTATGACCCCAAGAACACCATCCCCACCGTCAAACATGGATGTGGAAACATTATGCTTTGGGGGTGTTTTTTTTGCTAAGGGGACAGGACAACTTCACCGCATCAAAGGGACGATGGACGGGGCCATGTACCGTCAAATCTGGGGTGAGAACCTCCTTCCCTCAGCCAGGGCATTGAAAATGGGTCGTGGATGGGTATTCCAGCATGACAATGACCCAAAACACATGGCCAAGGCAACAAAGGAGTGGCTCAAAAAGAAGCACATTAAGGTCCTGGAGTGGCCTAGCCAGTCTCCAGACCTTAATCTCATAGAAAATCTGTGGAGGGAGCTGAAGGTTCGAGTTGCTAAACGTCAGCCTCGAAGCCTTAATGACTTGGAGAAGATCTGCAAAGAGGAGTGGGACAAAATCCCTCCTGAGATGTGTGCAAACCTGGTGGCCAACTACAAGAAACGTCTGACCTCTGTGATTGCCAACAAGGGTTTTGCCACCAAGTACTAAGTCATGTTTTGCAGAGGGGTCAAATACTTATTTCCCTCATTAAAATGCAAATCAATTTATAACATTTTTGACATGCCTTTTTCTGGATTTTTGTTGTTGTTATTCTGTCTCTCACTGTTCAAATAAACCTACCATTAAAATTATAGACTGATCATTTCTTTACTCTTTGGTTCTATTCGGTAAAGTCACGTAGGTAAAAGCTTCAAATCTAGAATTGATCATTTCTTTGTCAGTGGGCAAACGTATAAAATCGGCAGGGGATCAAATAATTCTAGATTTAAAGCTTTCGTGACTGCTAGGATCCATACTCTTTGGTTCTATTGGGTAAAGTCACGTAGGTGTTATTTTATTTTCACCTACGTGACTTTACCCAATAGAACCAAAGAGTAGGGGATCAAATACTTGTTTCCCTCACTGTACATGTGCGCAGCAGCAGGTGTACGGCAAGATGACGAACACATTCCGACGTCAATCGCACACAAAAGGTGATGGAATAAACTGCGTTTATTTAGTGGGGGGTGGCGGGCGGGGGGTGGAGATTTCCCGCTTCGTTTTGTTTAAACAATGCAGTTTGACTGTACATGCAATGCAGTTTGACTGGACATGTTGTTGTCACCGAGACATTGCACAGTGGCCCATTCCCTGCCATAAATAATACATCGTCTTTACGTAAAATTACATTTCAGATTCGTTTAAATGAAACGGCTGCCCGCAAGGAGCCGCAATGGGGGCAGCCGAAGAGCCAGCACGTGGCTCTGGAGCCGTAGGCTGTCGACTCCCTTGCTTTCGAGTGTAAAGAACCGAATAAAGTCAATTCTTTATGGGGTTTTTTTAAACGCCTGCCCGCAAGGGGGCAGCCAAAGAGGTGCAATGGGGCAGCCAAAGAGCCAGCACGTGGTTCTGAAGCCGTAAGTTTGCCGACTCCCTTGCTTTAGAGGGTTAAAGAACCGATTACAATTTGTTTTTTTTTTTAAATAAAGGCTGCCCGGAAGAGGGCAGCCAAAGTGCCGCAGGATGCCGACCACCGGCTGTGGCAACAACAATGTGGACGTCAAATGAAATATTTAATCGGTGACATTTCCCGTAAGGCCCCTGAACGTCACTGCCCAAAACGACAGTAAATATTTAACATTTTTTTGTTCTCTCTTTTAAGGAAATATCTTTGGACGAATTTGCGTCAAAAGCACCACCACCACCGCCGCCCCCCCCCTCCTCTCTCTCTATCTATCATCGTCTACAGAGATGCGAGGGCGTGAGAGAGGCGTCTTCCCAGTTGGCCCGTCTGCCGTGTAGTTTGAAGCTCTCAAGAAGGCGGCGCGGTTCGTCGCGTGTTCTCAGACTCCGTGCCGCGGACGCCACAGAGCGCCCAACCCCAAACCCCCATCGCCTGCCGTGTCAGCCGCAAGCCACCTCCGCCGGGCTCGGAGCCATGGCGTTTCCCACCAAGAAAAGCGTCGAGAATCTGCTGACCACGTGCGGGTACAGATACAAGGACGTGACGGCCAAAGACGCCGCGAACCTGCTTGGCGCTTACAGGGATTTGAGAGCAGGTGTCGACACGTGCGTGTTCGGTGATGGCAGCTCAAAGGAACTCGTCAACATCAGCGGGACCATACCTCTGCATTACAAAGGGAATATCTACAACATTCCAGTGCAGCTCTGGCTGTTTGACACGCATCCGTACCTGCCTCCCTATTGCTTTGTGAAGCCCACGAGCAGCATGCTGATCAAGGAGGGCAAGCACGTGGGTAAAGATGGCCGTATCTACCTGCCCTATCTGCACGAGTGGAAAGCTCACGCGTCGGATTTGCTGGGACTCGTTCAGGTCATGCTCGCGGTGTTTGGAGAGCAGCCGCCTCTGTATTCTCGCTCTCACTCGATCTCCGTGGTCATTCCACCGGTGGCTCGAATCTACCAAAACTACCCTTGGTACCCTGTCCCCAATCCACCCGCTGAAGAACAGAAGGAGCTCGCGACTGCCGCTCATGGAATGACAACGAATTCATCCGCAGCTGGAAGCGGCCCTTTTTACCCTGCCCCCAAACCACCCGTGGAAGAACGGACGGCTGCCGCTGCCGCTGCCCACGCCAACAAGAGCACCGAAGAGGAGCTCAGGCGCCTGCAGGATCGGCACACGTGCAAGGTGTGCATGGACAATGAGGTGTCCGTCGTCTTCGTGCCGTGCGGCCACTTGGTGGCATGCCAAGAATGCGCCTCCTCCCTGGCCATTTGCCCCATCTGCCGTGCGGCCGTGAGAGAGGCGGTCCGTACGTTTATGCCGTAGTGTGAAATGGCCCAAGGAAGGACGCGAAACAACTTCATCAACGCGAAACGTGAATACTGGTTCACTGTCTTGATGCAAATTATGTGATTTATGACAATCGCGTGTGCAGTAATTAGCAATTGAAAACGTTGCGTTGACAGTCAAGGGTTTAAGGCTTATTGGCAGCAATGAGGAAGTCAGATGACCTGAGGATTATTATTGTTAACAAAACAACATGGGAAAAGAGTACCTTTAAAATATTTTTCAGCCATCTTCTTTGGTTCTTTCGGTAAAGTCACGTAGAATGAGAATAAAATAATAAATTGATAAAATAAAATAACACAGAATATTATTGTGTTAAAATAACACAGAATATTATTATTGTGTTAAAATAACACAGAATATTATTGTGTTATTTTATTTTATCAATTTTTTATTTTATTCTCATTCTACGTGACTTTACCGAAAGAACCAAAGAAGATGAATCCTTGCAGTCACGAAAGCTTTCGAAATTTTTCAGCCAGTCAACATATCTCAAACGGAAACGTGCCGATTTAGAAGAGCATTGTGCCTGTTATTATTGGCAGTATAAAGCGTAACGAGTTAGTCATGGTTATGGGAATAAAATCTTGAGTTTTGTGTGAAGCATTTTATTGGCAGGTGATTACCATATATTCAGGTTTTTTTGTCTTAATATGGGAATTATATACAAATTTGTATTGTATGCAATTGACAACCGTTGTTGATATAGGGGTGTCTTGTCCATTTTAGGTTTGAAAAAAAAACCTGTTTAAAAGTCGAAGTGGTGACGAATACGTTTTTGTTCTGAATTCCTTAAATTGTATGACTCCAACTAATGGCATAGAAACTGAGACGTTACAGTTGCTAAATTTAGAAGTCGTCAATGCAGTGTAGCTGTATGCAAAGTTGGCGACTCTCGCTATGGCAAAGCTTAGTTTGCTATGTCACCTGATGTCTGCTCGCAGCAGACATCGCAGCTATCGCGATTTTCACCTGAAGACGAATGCTCGTGTTGCGTTCGAAACGTCGTGATTTATTTTATTTTATTTCTACCTATGTGACTTTACCGAAAGAACCAAAGAGTATGGATTCCTGCAGTCACGAAAGCTTCAAATCAAGATTGAATTTTAGATATTGTTTCCGAAAACCATATTTACCCGTAGCATATTTGTAATGCAAGGAGTGAGTTTATTCACGTTTGAATATAAGTTGTGCAATGCTTAATACAGAAGTCACGTGACACATGTGGCTAGCAGACTATAATGTGCATTAATTAGCCTTGTTTTTATCATATAATCGATGATTTCATTGGGTATGTGGCTGCTAAAGTAAGCTGATCATGTCAACGGTATGAAAATCTGATTAATCTACATTTAAAATTTCTTAACACGTGGGCTTTCGCGACCATCATCCATAATAAAGCTTTTTTTGTTTGTTAGATCGCGTAAATGTGTTGTTAAACCCGCCACCACCCGACACAGCCACCACTCTGGCTGTCGCCTGATGAGGCTGGTTGTAATTACCGGCGAAACGTCGTAATCTAATTGTAAATGTTGTAGGCTTACTCTCCAACACACCGGTTTGGTGAACTTGTAACGAATTGGCATGTTTTGTTTCAGTGACAAACCTTAATAATTGGCTGTGTCGGGTGGTGGCAGGTTTAACGACATATCTTTATTTACGTGATCTAACCCAAAAAAAACCTCTATTATAGATTAAGATACATTTTTACACAAGTGCATATTATTAAAGGCGCTTTCTATATCTGTGTAATGTTCATGTAACTTACTTGTAATTGACGATTGTCAGTTTTAACATAATCTGCCCTTGCCGATTTTTGCTATGGGTAATGTATTACTTAACATTAATTTGTGTTTTTGTAATCCAGTATTTTAAATGTATCATGGGACACGGTTGTTTTTGTACAGATTTCGATTTCCTTCATTGCCGTGCTGTTGTCATTTTGGTTACCCACGTGACTCAAATGAGACTCTCCTGGTATATTGAGTTAAACAATGACACCTGGTTAAACAAATAAACGTGTAACCTTCAAACCGTGGTTCAAATCGTTATACATCACATCAACTTAATGCCATTTGGTCAACAGTACACATGTAGTGACACAGAATCGGTCACGTAGCAGCATAGTGCTGGCTGCTGGCAGGGAAGCGGGTCTGCAGCTTACAGCAGCCCTGACTGACAACAGGTCACGTGATATAGACCAGAGAGGGATCTAGGGGAAAGGTTACGGAAGGGGCGCATCGAGAACCCGCTAGTAGGTTCCAAAAGGGGGCGTGGCCGGGGGCGGAGCCAGGGTATGCTGGCAGTATAAGAGGGGCCCCGGGAGGGGACCTCGGGGCTGTCGATTGGCGTTGGGATCCCCGTCGTGCTGCTGTTGGAGTCTTCACCGTCTCGGCGTCACGAGTCAAGCAGTCTACCAGCTGATAGCGCCGGCATGGAGCGACTTCAACCTAATCTGCCGATTAAATAACCTAACGCCCCACGTGGGAAAACAGAATATGTATGTGCGTGACTGCAGCTCCAAACAACCAAACTGTGGGACCGTAGAACTTGTCACTGCCCCAAAAATATTAATATTCAATCCACCAACACTCAGACACAGAATGAAAGCTGTCAAATCACTTCTAACCGACTAGCAATGATCCACATTTGCGTTCGGCAGAATTAATCTCTTATAGTTCCTCTCGGTCCCATAGATATAACTGCTCAACTCGAGCATTGCCTTTGTGCTGTTCGCCTGTTGGCGTTCTCTGTGGTCTAACACCGGTGAGACTAGGCCATAAAGAAGGCTGTCTCTGGTGCAGGCCAGTCAGTTTCAAAGACAATGCATGCATTATCAGAGCGTGTTTGTTGGCATGTTTTCCACAAATGTGTGTGGATAATGCAGACATTAAAAAACGGTTTATATTTGGGGTCTGAACATCTGAACGCATCCTATTGCCAGACTAGGTGTAAAGCCTCTTATTATTTTTCATAATTTGCTCACGATTGGCCATCAACCTAACGACCGCTCCCTCCTGCCCCCCTCTCACCTTGCCCACATTTAGCCCCGCACCTATCGATATAACCAATACACCAACATCCGCCGTTTCGCCACTAAGTGACGGTGCCGTCACCACAGCGCCTGTGCCAGGCCAGGTGCACCTTGAGACCACATGAAGTGTCGGAAGGCTCGCTGCTGATAGGAGGTCTCTGTACAGACACCTAGCAGGTGCCATGGGTTGTGGCTCACTGAGATGACTGGCAGATGCATCACAACAGCTGTAGCCCCCCCCCCCCCCTACTCTGCCCTCTGGACCTATAACAACATCCGCCGTTCGCCACGAAGTGACGGTGCCGTCACCACAGCGCCTGTGCCAGGCTAGGTGCACTCTTGCTGACAGGAGGTCTCGGGACAGACACCCAGCAGGTGCTTTGCCAACTCGCTGCATCGAAAAGACCAATACCCAACTCGACCACGCCTTCTTTCTCCCTCATTGACCCCGCCCTCTTATACATAGCACCGCCCCCTCCCTATCTAGATAACCACGCCCTCCCCCCTCTATCGTCCCGCCCCCCTCCCTATCTGCATAACCACGCCCTCCCCCCTCCATCGTCCCGCCCCTCTCCCTATCTGCATAACCCACGCCCTCGCCACACCCCCTCCATCGTCCCGCCCCCCACCCTCTGCCCCGCCCACACCCCCAAGGTCACGCGGTACCCGGCGGTGGCGATGGCGTTCGGCGGTGAGTTTCTCGCTCGCTGTGTGGCGGCGTCGGCGGCGTCGGCGGTGGCTGCCGCAGTTTGAACGTTGATCATCGATGGTCGCAAGGATCGTGGGCGACTACAGCCCGCGGTGCCACTCTCAAGCGGGCCGGCGTCGTGAATTCGTCAAGCGTTGCTTGCGGCCTTTGGTTTGAAACCGAAGGAACGCGCTCGTGTGTGTGTGTGTGGCGCGGCGCTGTTGTCGGCTCCCGTGGGGTTCGTTGTTGCGAATGATCGTAACGCTTCCTGTTGTTTTTGTTTACGCCTCAGGTGTTTGTTTACGAGTCGTGTTTTTTTTTTTTTGAGAGGCCGTGGCTGCACTGGCGCGGCATAATCGGGGGTGGGGATGGGTAACCTTGCACAATTCAAGCGATGCGCTGACCTCTCGGTCGATGATGACTGTGACGGTGCTGCTTGTTGCCGGCCGCAGCACCGGTTCCGTCCGAGCATCGTTCGCCGCCGCTGATGTTGGCCGGGATCGAACTTCAAGGTTGCCTGGTTCGCAGCGAGCCGCGTTGCGCTATCCACACCGGTGGTGGTATCGCTCCTCCTAAATGCTGACCGTCGGGTTTTGTTCCAAATTCGCCAATGCGAAATGGAAATGCGTTTACAACGAGAAGTGCATTTGTAGGCATAGGCGGAGCAAAGGCAGAGCGTGTGCACGGACTTCCCGATCATCTCGACGTGTTAACTACCTCGCCCGGTATACAGGAGGTCGTGGGTTCGACCCTGACGCCTGCTGCTGCTGCTGCTGTATATTTGGAGTTTGGGTGTCTCTGTCCCCCTCTCTCCCCGTGGTCGCGTGGATTTTTCTCCGGGTCTTTCTCTCTCCACGTATCGAATCAACGTCACGCGTTTCGTGTATTTTGTTGCGATAAATTCCCGCAAATAAGCCACTTCGTTGAGCTATCATTTGTGGGCCAAGGTCGCTTCTGACAAAAAAAAGCTATATAGCTCAGTGGGCCTTACCTGGTAAAGTAAAAAAATGGTGTAGTTTGTATAGTTTTCTTTTAAAGGGGGAGTTGGCAATACGATTGTGCCAGCCCTTGAAGAGGGCACGTCATTGGGAAGTCACTGTTATAGCAGTGAATTATTGGTCGATGCCACGAGTTTTCCCCAGCTCAGATGCCACTTTCTTCTGCTCTGATTGTTAACAGCATCACGCAGGGCTGTCAACACGGCAAGTGACTTGTGAATAAAAAAAATGCTGAAACCACCCACCATGTGATGACACGAATGAAGCAGACAGCAGCTCTACTGCGAATCCTAACTAGGCAAGCTAACCCTAGTCCTCGCCGTAACTATGGTAACCCGACCCTTGTCCAACACAAACTTAGCTCTGATCCTGACCCTTACCGCAAGTCAAATCCCGGCGAAGCCTTGTAAAAATCTTAACACAAGTGTCTTTTTTTGCCGTCATTCCTCTGCAGCCTACCTCAAGCACCTGTGGAACAAGGAGCCAGTGATTATGGCGTCCTTGGGAATCGGCATGACCGGTAATTGTTGCGACGGCGGTTTTGTGTTGAAGGCTCGTGGCGGGATGGCATTGTGGGCCACGCTTTCACGACTTTGTCGGATTTGCACGGATAATTTGATAATCGGGTGACAGCCTTGACGTTTTTTTTTGTTGTTCTAAATGTAGCATTTTCTGTCCCTCCTAATGATAACGCCACTCGCATCGTCAGCGTCATATCGTCACACGAGACGAGGAACTCACCGTGAGCAGCTTAACACTGGGTGTCCAGAACGGCCCCGGAGGATGACGTCAAGGAACCAATTCTGAAGTAACTCCAGAAGCCATTGACTACACTAGGCGGGGGGGGGGGGAGTCACCTTTTATTTGCCCCCTGCAAAGTGTTGATGACCTGTCAAAAAAACAATCTCTTTCAAGCAGGCGAACTGGAAAAAAGCCACATTGTCAAAAAACTCTATGTAATTGTTTACTTAACACAGCCATCGGTGTGACCTGGCTGACACCATCAAGTGGCCTACGCTTGAGAATCCGGTTTAAACATGGAGTTGAATGCAGGATCTCGGTGATGCAAGCTTGGTGACGTTATCCTTTGAGCCACTTGGCCAACTCGGCCTTTGTGGAGAATTACCATGTGCTGCAGTGAGGGAAAAAAGTATTTGATCCCCTGCTGATTTTGTACGTTTGCCCACTGACAAAGAAATGTTCAGTCTATAATTTTAATGGTAGGTTTATTTGAACAGTGAGAGACAGAATAACAAAAAAATCCAGAAAAACGCATGTCAAAAATGTTATAAATGGATTTGCATTTTAATGAGGGAAATAAGTATTTGACCCCCTCTCAATCAGAAAGATTTTTGGCTCCCAGGTGTCTTTTATACAGGTAACGAGCTGAGATTAGGAGCACACTCTTAAAGGGAGTGCTCCTAATCTCAGCTTGTTACCTCATTACACACAAAGTGCTTGTCATAAATGGACCACAATACCTACGCTGATCTCGTCAAGGAACATAAACCATCACGCAAACTCCGGTCATCCTCGCAGCGGCTTTTAGCTAACCATCAAACAAAGACAGTCACTGCATCGCACGCTTTCAGATGCGCTTCTGCGGAACACTTCCAATATTCGGAAGTCACTGGAGCCTATGTACTTGTAAATCCCGCACTTACGATTAGCGTGGTTGGCTACGTACTGTGCGAAAGAAGTTCAACATAAAATGCTTACAAGAGTGTGCTGTTGTTACCCTATGTGACACATTAAGTATAACCTAGATGGTTAGTATGCGAAAGTGGGATTCAACTTATAAACCCCTCAGTCTTCTGCCTCTGGCAACTGCTGTCCACCACACTGTCCCCAGTGGCTACCTGTGTGGGTTGGTGGTTTCGGGAAGGTGGCAAGAGGTGGGGAGGATGTTTTAAGGGTATTTTTCATTTTTATTGTTCTCCCTGTCCCCTCTGGTGCATCGGCCACCATCTGCCCCACAGCGCTGATTCTGCCGTTCGTGAGCCCCCTCACCAAGTTCTCGAGAAAGTTGAGCCTGGCCAGTCCGTACTACTATCCGGGTGAGTCACTCGATAAGTTCGGTTACGTTTTGGAAATTACTGTATTAAGTCTTCTGACTTTAACTTCACAACATAAGTTGTGTTTCTGTGTGTTACACAAGCATGAACGGGTGTGAGCAAGCAAGTTCAGTATTTTTTTTTCCTAACGGGCCACCCTTATTCATTGACGTTGCCATCACTATCGCAGATATCTCAAATATTTGAAAAACAAATATTTCACCAATGTCGCACGGCAGCATTCAAAGCAGACACGTGCAAATGCCTTTACATTTAATCTGACCCATGCCTGCTTGAATTTATGAACCCGAATTTAAAAAATTCAGGATTCAATTCAATAACCAATTATTTTGTCTCCAAACGATCTCGTTAAGAGTTAGGAGCAGTTGCTCTGTCGTACTCATTCATAGAGTTGCTCTCTCCATTCATCTAAATGTAACAATACCACTTGCCGTAATCCTTTCTAATCTAGTCGCACGCGTACGATTCAACGTGCACGTTACGATATCGATTTGAATCGAAGTGTCGTCCTTGCGCTCGTCCCTACTCAGCTGATCTTGGCGTGAACGTTCAGCTATTTCCCCAAATGCATCGTGCCCCCATCCCTCGTATCTCCATCCTCCCCCCCCCCCCCGGTAGTGCCTGTGCGGGATGATGGCAACATGCCCGATGTGCCGCAACACCCATGCGAGAAAAAGGGCAACAGCCTTGAATGGCTCAAGAACTTCTGAGCAACGACCGCCAACACAACACGGCGCTCAAGGAATCTGGTGGCTTCTGAACGCCGGCGCACGTTCGCTCGCTCCACCACCACCAACAGTAGGAAAGGAAGTTATTTCGTCCCACCACCTCCAGTCGCGTATTTCCTTGTATAATTTTAAATTAAAATTTTGCCGTCGCTGCGCGTACGGAATGTCACGCGGATCAATGCAAGTTACGCGCGTAAATGGCTCGGCAAATAAAGAGTAACTTGAAGTTACCGTTAAAGAGTGTACGAGTTTCATTTGTCACTTAGGAGTGAACAGCTGTAGACCGCGGCTCGGTTGGTTATGATTCACACCCCCTGCCACCCTGTGAAGCCAATAAATTATTACAATGATACCAATTCAACAATTGATAATTGGCTCAATTTTACCATTTCATTTGTATGGCTTTACTTGTTTCCCTTAGTCTTATTGTAACGTCACTAAATAATTTGCATAAACTTGACACCAGTTCTCACACATTGATCCCATGCATTTTGAGGGTAAGAATATTTTATTGATGCAAAAATGTTGAGCTATTGGTGGGCGAGGTTCCGGCGCACACGGTTGGTACAGTAAAGGGCAACACATTAAAATTAACCAGTAAGTGTAGAGCCCCCTTTTGCCAATCCACTGCTGGATGAGTGCCTCCCCATGCCATGCTGGTCCTGGGGGGGTTCATACTTTATGCTGGTCAATGTAGTTTGAAGGCAGGGGGAGCATAGAGAAACAGCGCAACAACAAACGGATGTTGCCATCTGCTGTCCACCTTAAGCCCAGTACGAAACAACTAAACTTTTGGGGCACTACACTTTTTTCGTTTGCTTCTTTAGAGCCTTGGGCGATTGTCCTTTAGCAATGGTGCGCGCGAGTCACCCTCCCCGCCACTTTCGTTTGCGGTTTTGCCTCAAAACCCAGAGCAGCTGAGTCCTCGTCACTAGTGGAGCATGGCTGTTCTTTCTCCTCATCTTCTTCACTCAACTCCGACTCTGATCCGGAATCCTCGCTGCTGGATTTTGGTGCGGGAGTTGCCTTGCCGCGTCTTGTCCTGGGCACCTCCGTGGCCTTGCAATCATCATCGTCCGACGATTCGGACTCCGACTCGAACCCGGACACAGAGCCGTCGCTGGCATCGGCGGTGCCAGCGTTGCCGCTCGGAGGTCGAGCTCCGATTTTGTCTACCCTGAAGCTCGGCCGAGCGGCGTCCACCCCGTCCACCTCCATGGCATCCGTGCTCCTGCATAGACATTTCAGATGAATGTATGTTGTCAACGGTGTACAATAACAATTTACAGGCCTCTTGTCAATCCACTGCTTCAGAATCAGAATATTTATACTGGAGGAATCCGATGAGCTATAAAGCTCTTTTTCACAGATGTCCAGCTTGATGATGGCCCATCCAGAATGCCATGCCGATCATGGGCGGTTTATTTGACTGCTGGTTATAGTGTAGGTTGGTGTAATGGAGGGAGCCCGGGACCGTGTAGTTATGCATGTTGAACTTCTTTCGCACCACCTTACGTAGCCTTTACTAGTACAGCACGCCGGTGTGTTGTACGTAGCCAACCATGCTAATCGGAGGTGCAGTGGAAGGACAACAAACACAAAAAGCAGTTCTAAAGAAATGAGTCGTCTATCTAGATTTAAAAGTGCATAGCTCCTGTGGCTTCGTGATATCGGAAGAGCGTTCCAGACGGCTGCAGAAGTGCATCTGCAAGCGCACAATGCAGTGACCGTCTTTGTTCAATGGCGAGCCAAAAGCCGCTCCTGCGAGAATTACCGGAGTTTGCGTGATGGTTTAAGCTCCTTGACGACATCAGCAGCACAAGGTATTGTGGTTCATTCGTGGCAAGCGCTTTAGTGTGCAATGAGTGCAACCTTTCAAATGTTTCGTGCGGCGAGTGGGGGAGGGGCGCTCACTTGAAGTCGGACAAGAGCCGCATGCTCCTCCAGGTGTAGTCCACAAACATGGCGGCCTGTAGGAGCCGCCCCATCCTCTGGAAGTGTCGCTCTGTCAAGAGAGAGGGCGCCTCCGATTAGCGCGGCTGGCCACACACGGTGCGTAAGAAGTTCAACGTGCGCACGCAGCCGGACGGTGCGACTTACAATTAATTGCACAGCGTGCAGGCGTTCCCGCTGCCGACAAGAGGGCTGTGCCCGTGTCATTCATTCCTTCATTCACACTATTTAGCCAGGTCCACTGCCCACTGAGATGAATTATCTTCACCTGCGCCGAATAAAGAAATGTCGTGAAATGTGATAGAATGTCGATCCACGGCAATGCGCGGGATGAGAAATAATGCATATTCAAGGTTCACTCATTCGCAATCGGTTCACCAACAAGAAACGCCAACCGATCCAAGTTCACAGCATTCATTGGCAGCGCGACGTATCGCTGCGCGAGCATTAACGTGGGTGGACCCACGGATGGACACCCGGCCCCCGCCCACCACCACCGCCACCGGACGCACCGCTGTAGGGCAGCAGCGCCTCGACGGCGGGCTGCACGTTGGCGAAGCGCAGGAGGTCGCCGGGCGGCACGTGCCGGAAGAGCGTGGCGAGCACGGCGTGCGCCTCGTGGCAGCTGCGAGAGTTCGTGTTCCACGTCACGGCGAACTTGAGCAGCGACTCTGTGGCAAAAAAAAGTTCCCCGCCCGCGTGAGACGACGGAGGTGAGATTGGCCAGTGGCCGCACGATTCGGAGGGTTGCGGCACGGGACGGCCGCACGGTTCCGTAGTCAACAGGGCAGGCCCCGCAGCCGTTGGTTTGGCCTTTGAGTAGGAAGTTGACGTCAGAATCGGAATATTTATACTGCAGGAGGAATCCGATGAGCGATGAAGCTCTTTTTGCACAGGTGTCCACAGTAGGTTGGAAGCCAAGCAGAAACATTTTTTGCCTAGTTAACTCCTCGGGATGTGAGACTGCCATTCCGGGGGAATACCAGGTGTCGCACGAATGGGGCTGCGAGGTGACCAAGAGATGGCAGCACAGCCAGCGGTGGATTCTTGAATCCATCGGTGCGAAGCTTTGAGCGTAACCCCCTCTCTGTACATTGGGATCTTCTCCGGTTTCGTCCCACACTAAGAAAAAGACTCATGATGGGAATCGACCAAAAAAATCCAAGGTAGCTACAGAACATTATTTGTTACAACAGCCATGTCCAGCGTAGTCGATGGACCGTCTGGGTCACCAGCCTTTGCACGAACGTAACCATCACGGCCAGCGATGTCGACGCGAGAACGCCTCTCCACCGGCCGCCAGGCCCTCCGTCCTCACCTTTCTGGTCCTGTCTCAGCTTGGCGATGGTGGCCTCCAGGTCCTCTCGTCCTCCCGTCTCATCCAGGATCGCTGCGCCACGACACAGGGGGTGGGGGGTGGTTCGGGCGGGGTTACCGCGTGTCGACCGACGGCGCAAAACCATGTGCAGCGCGGTACGCGCTACCCGAACGTGCGAGCTAAGGTGGAAATCTCATCTCACAACGTGGGTTCGATCCCGACCCTGACGCCTGCTGTATATTTGGAGTTTACGTGTCTCTCTCCCCGTGGTCGCGTGGATTTTTCTCCGGGTCCTCCGGTTTTTCCCTCCACATTTCAAATAAACGTGGCTGCTGTAAATTTCCACATAAGCCACTTCGTTGAGCGGTTCTGGAAAAAAAGAGCTTCATAGCTCAGTGGGCCTGAACTGGTATAAAATGAATAGGTTTAGTTTACAGTTTAGTTTCCCCACTCACCTTGGATGACGGTCAGTGTCGTGTGGGGCTGATCGAGGGAGATGGCGAGGCGGAGAGCCTTCAGGTATTTCTTTTCGTGCAGCAAGTTCGAAAGTTCCTGTCTCCTGCCAGACGCAGCATTCACGAGGGGAAGGAAATTAAACGAGTGCAGTAACTCCGAGGTCACCGACGGTTCTCGGGGGGTTCAAATCCCGACCGCGGTTGGCAAAGACGTGCCCCCCCCCCCCCCCCCACCACCACACCAAATATTTGCAACACCAGTCGCCAAATGCTCGCTTCCTTTGCACCAATTTGACTACACATTCGTAGCAAGGGCAGGGCCTCCATTACCATGTACGTCACTGACGGCTTCACTCCCCATTACGGCCACCGCTGCCGTCGCCTCCACCTATGACCGGAATGGAACGCACTCGACTTCGTCGGATGTAAGTATGTATGTGTGTTGCACTTCTATTGCACCACCGTACCATAGCCGACCGTGCCAATCGGAGGTGCGGGGGAAGGACAGCAAACTAAACACCGAAAGCAGTTCTAAATAAATGAAGTTTTCAATTTAGATTTAAAAGTCCACAGCTCCAGTGGCTTCATCATATCGGAAGGTAGAGCGTTCCAGACGGCCGCAGAATCGCATCGTGCGGGCGATGCAGTGACCGTCTTTGTTCGATAGCTAGCCAAAAGCCGCTGCGAGGATCTCGGAAGCCAAGCAGATTTGAGCCTGGTCAGAACTCCTCGACTGGGAGACCGCCCACGAATACCAGGTGTTGTAGGCCCTTACCCAGGGATCGGTAATCAAAATACCAAGACCCATTTTTTTCGAAATTCGGTAAAAAAACAAAAATTCCAAGAGCGCCGCAATGCATGCGAGAATACGACACGGTGGCCCTTAACAAATAACGTCACGAAGCGGTCCTCAAAGAGGCGCGCGTGCTGCCAACCCCCCTGCCCCTAACCCGAACCCGCGCTGCCGTTGATGTTGCGCGCTGCGATGGCGACGCTCACTTCAGCAGCTGCTCCTCCTCCTTCTTCCGCTCCTCCTCCTGCTCCTCCTGCGTCACGTCCTGCGGTGGAGATGGAAGGTTGAGTTGGCGAGCTCGGCTGATAGATTGATAAATAAATAGCGCACGCATCGCGGTGTTTTACAAGAGGGCACGTGACAGGAGGCCCTCGGGACGTTTGATTCCGATCGCCTCTCTACGCTTGTGATAGGACGCGCAAGAATCGCGTAGTGCGGATCGATGATTGTGATATTCGTATTTTTGCCGCATGCGAATGCTGCGCTGAAATCCTGCAGCTGGTGGAGGTGCCGTGCTAATCGTAGGTGCTGGGGAAGGACCGCAAACTAAACCCAAAAAGCAGTTCTAAAGAAATTCGATTTAGATTTAAAAGTGCATCGCTCCCAGCGACTACCTAATATCGGAAGGAAGAGCGTTCCAGACGGCCGCAGAAGCGCGTCTGAGAGCGCGCGATGCGGTGACTGTCTTTGTCCGATGGTTAGCCAAAAGCCGCTGCTGCTGTGGTGGTGGTGGGGGGGGGGGAGGTTTGGGTGGGGGGGGTGTTAGGGTCAAGTGGTTCCGGCCGTCACTTGCCTTCCACAGCACGATGCAGGCGTCGCTCCCGCCGGTGAGCACACGCTCGTCGTCGCGGCTGCCGTGGAGGCCCCAGACTTTCCCGTCGTGCGCGTCGAGCGTGCGCACGCACTCGTTGGTCTTGATCGTCCAGAGCTTCACGAGGCCGTCCGAGCCGCTACGCGGGGCGGCGGGAGAGACGGAGACGGGTACAAAAAAAAAATGGAACAATAAATGCGAAGAATAAAAAGTGCGACGGAAATGTATTTGATTGCGCCAATGATTAAAGTCGCTGTCTGACCTCGTCAGGAGCTGCGTCCCTCGCGCCACGAACACGACCTTGAGCACCGACGCATCGTGACCTTCAAACGTCTGCACAGAGAGAGAGAGGGAGACACACAGGCGGACACGGGGGAACAAGCGAACCAGACTTGTCATCACCATCACCGTCACTGCCATCGTCACCGTCATCGTCACCATCGTCATCACCTTAAGCATTCGATCTCACGCGTAAAGAGCACACACGGACACAACCGCGTCGACCGTGGCTGCTCCTGTGGCAGCTGTTTTCACTCTCGCAGTTGCTGCAGCAGTTGCTCTGACTGCAACTGCTGCATTGGTGGCTGCATTAGCTGCTGCTGTGGCAGCTGCTACTTGCTGTGTCCAGTGGCGGTGTCGGCTGCTGTGTCCAGTGGCCATGCTCGCTGCTGCGTCAGTGATCGTGTCCGCTGCCGTGTCAGCGATCCTATGAGCAGCAGCTGATACGGCAGCTGATACGGCAGTGTCAGCGACCGTGTCAGCCGCCAGCGCGAGGTTAACCGCGGGCAGTGTCGTCAGCCTCCGCCGTGGCTCACCTTGAGGCAGGCAAAGTCGTGCAGCCCCCAGAGCCGCACGGAGCCGTCGGCGGAGGCGGAGGCGACGACCTGGTCCATGGGGGAGAAGGCGACGGCCCAGACGCCGCGACGGTGGCCCCGCAGCACCGCCACGGGGCCAACACCGCCCCCCCCCTCCTCCTCCTTCTTCTTCTTCGCCGCCACCGCCCACAGCCGCACCGTGTGGTCCTGGGAGCCGCTCGCCACCAGCCGGTCGTTGGGGGAGACCGCCACGCTGTTCACGTCCTGCACGCGTTTACGAACAGCGGGCCCACGGTCTGTCCGCTGCTCGACGAAGGCATGCCCCCCCCACCCGCACACCCGCACGTGTGCGCGTGTTTTTGTGCTGGTGGCCAGTGGGGGAGCGGTAGTGTAGTGGTTAGCGCTACCCTGCACTACGAACCCGGCGACTCGGGTTCGATTCCCGCTCACGGCCAACACCAGTGATGATTATTTGAACCGGTCCTGGGCCTTCCCTAGGTCGACTCAGCCTAAAATGAGTACCTGGTGCGGTGTGTAAACATCGCCACTGGGGAGACAAAGGCGGCCGGGCGTGGTGTTGGCCACCCACCCCTTCGTGTGCCGTGCCGGCCTTTATAGGTGCTCGCTAACAGCACGTTCCCCAACAGTCTTTTAAGGCTACACGGGGGATCTTTGTCTTTATCTTTGCTGGTGACAAGTGTGTGTGCGTGTGAACGTGTGCTAGTGACCAGCGTGTGTGTGTGTGTGTGCACGTGAACGTGTGCTAGTGACCAGCGTGTGTGTGTGTGCACGTGAACGTGTGCTAGTGACCAGCGTGTGTGTGTGTGTGCACGTGAACATGTGCTAGTGACCAGCGTGTGTGTGTGTGTGTGCCAGCAATGGTCTGGTGTGGCACGTGCGTGCGAGCGCATGTCCACCTTGTCGTGCGCCTTCTCCGTGAAGCGGCAGGTGAGGGCGGTGGTGGCGGTGCCGCTGGACGAGAGACCCTTGGGGAGGTCCCACAGCTTCAGGGTGCAGTCCTGGCTCCCGCTCACCAGGAAGCCATCCTTCAGCCTGCAGTACGACAAAGACAAACCCGACCCCCCTGTAGCCTCAACAGACCGTTGGAGCAAGTGCTTTTAGCGAGTAGCAGCCGCCTATGAAGGCCGACACGGCACACAAACAGGTGGGTGGCCAACACCACACCCGGCCGCCTTTGTCTCCCCGGTTGCTGATGCTGTACTCATGTTAAAGCCGAGTCGACCTACGACAGGCCCAGGGCATATTCGGCAGCGTTATTGGTCGTGAGCGGGAATCGAACTCGGCTCGCCGGGTTCGTAGTGCGCTAACCACTGCGCTCACTGTTCCCCAAAGACGCACACCCACACAGACACCCACGCAAATAAACGCACACAAGACACCCACGCGGAGACGCACGCAGACACAGACACGCACGCACAGACACGAACGCACAGACACGCACACGCACGGCGCGCGTCCCTCTCACCTGGACCAGGCGACGGCCCCGACCGCGTGAGCGTGTCCCGTCGCCACGGCGACGCAGCGCACGTGCCCGCTCGCCTCCTCCATGCTCCACACGCGCACCGTGCGGTCCTGGTCACAACGACCGGGTCACAGCGGGCGATCGCGTGGGGCACGGCGGCGGGGTACAGGCGGCAGCAGTCATCGTGGTGGTGGTGGTGGTCTAAGGGCCACGCTGTTGGTTGCGCAGGCAACCAACAGCGTGTGGCGGAGTGGGCGATGCTATTGACCGTGTCGGTGGTGGCGATTATCGTGGCGCTTGTGGTGTTGGCTGCGGTGGCGGCTGCGGTGGCGGCTGCGGTGTCGGGAGTGCACCTGGTCTGGAACAAGCGCCTTGGTGATGTCACCGCAACTTAGTGGCTAATGGTGTCTGTTGTTGTTGTCGTGTAGTGTTATGGTGGTGGTGGTGTTGATGGTGGTTGTGGTGTTGGTGGCGCTTGCGGTTGTGAGCTCTCACCTTGGAGCTGCTGGCGAGCATCGTGCCCCTTCGCGATACGTCCAGCGCCAGCACCATGTCTGCACACGCAACGATGTAAACAAAACACTTCAGCACGAAGATCTCCCCCCCACACCCCGCCGTGTAGCCTCGACAGGCTGTTGAGGCAAGTGCTGTTAGCGAGTAGCAGCACCTATGAAGACCAACACAGCACACGAAGGGGGTGGGTGACCAGCGCCACGCCCAACCGCCTTTGTCTCCCCAGTGGCGTCACCGATGTTGGCCGTGAACGGGAATCAAACTCGGGGTCGCCGGGATCATGGCGCAGCGCGCTAACCACTTTAGTACCAAAGACAAAGATCCCCCATACAGCCTGAACAGACTGTTGAGGCAAGTGCTGTTAGCGAGTGGCACCTATGAAGGCCGGCACGGAACACGAGGTGGGAGGCCAGCACCACGCCCAACTGCCTTTGTCTCCATCGTGGACATGTTTACACGTTGTACATCACACACCGCAACCAGGTACTCATTTGAGGCCGAGTCGACCCTCGGGGAGGCCCAGGACCGGTTCAAATAATCGTAACTGGCGTTGGCCGTGAGCGGGCAATCGAACCCGGGTTCGTAGCCGGGTTCGTAGCGCTGCGCGCCGAGCTCTGCGTCGCCACTCGCGCACACCGACGCTCTCGCCCATGCACTCACTCACGCACTCACCCCTGTGCCCGTGCAGCAGCTGGCAGTGGGAACTGTCAAGCTGGAAGATTTTGATCTGGGCGCTGTTGGTCGCCACCGCCACGTGGGAGTCCGTCTTGCCCAAGAACTTCACGTCCAGCACCTCGTCGTTGTAGCCCACGAACTGCGGCAGCACGAAAGAACGAAACATCATGGGCGGAGGGGGAGGAATGTTAATTGCAGAATCAGAATATTTATTTATACCACGGGAGGAATCCGATGAGCTATGAAGTTATTTTTCACAGATGTCCAGCAGCGGGCACGGGGTCAGAACGTTACAAAAACAAAGGACACGATAAAAAAAAAGGGAGTGAAAAGTGTAAGGGAAAGATAAATCACTTAAATAAATATACAAATAAAACTAAACTATGTTTTTTTTCTCACCAAAAAAAAAGTCCACCGAGCTATTCGCTTTATTTTTCACGAGCAACATTGGCCATCACAAACGATAGCTCAACAAAAGTGGCTCAATCGAAGTCATCCAAACTCATTATGTCTCGTTAACCGCCACGACGACCCAATTCGCAGAGGCAACGCGAACGCCTCCCTCAAGCAAACGGTCTCAACGGACGGACCGACGACGCACAGGACCTGCTTTGCGACGGTCAGCCCTCCCAGCGCGTGCAGGATGATGTTGTGGTCGGAGGTGACGGCCGCGATTTGCCCGAGCGCCGGCACGAGGTGAGCCTGCACGATCGTTCGCTCCGCGCCGTCGCCGGGCCCGGCGCTCGCAGCCGCTGCTGCGGCGTCGTCCCCTGGCGAGCCGGCCTCGGGCGGTGGCGCCGTGAAGACGCAGCGCGCATTCGCCGCGTCCCACACGCGCAGCGTGCCTGGAGACGGCGCGGGAAGGCGAGTGCGCTCAAACTCTCGGGAATCCACGTGCGGGTGAAATGTATTCCTGTCGGGAAGCGCAGGAGCCCTGTCGCCCTGGCGACCCGTCGCCCCGTGACCCCTGTCGCCCCGTGACCCCTGTCGCCCGTGACCCCTGTCGCCCGTGACCCCTGTCGCCGCACGACCCGTCGCTCCGTGACCCGTTGCCCCATAAATATGACGCAATACAAACAAAACAGTATAAACGAGGCACGATAAACGAGGCGGAAAAAAAAACCTCGTCTGTTCTGAAATAACACTAAGAATTCGTGCAATCGGCCGAGCCAGTGAATTGACGAGTATAAATTACAATTTATTTACTCCCGAGCGTCAGGTCTCATTCGGGCCGCCATGTTGCCGCTCTCACCTTTGCTGCCCGCGGTGACGAAGTGGATGCCCTTCCCCTCCACTCCCAGTGCCGATTGATCGCCCTCCTCAGGCAGAACCACCAGGTCCTCCAGGGGCTGTGGGGTCACGAGATGGGGGGGGACGCGTTGGTGAAGGAGTCGCGCGGGTTGCGTCGGTAACATGGTGTCGCACGGGTCACATGGTGTCGCGTCGGTAACATGGTGTCGCGCAGGTCACATGGTGTCGCGCAGGTCACATGGTGTCGCGCAGGTCACATGGTGTCGCGCAGGTCACATGGTGTCGCGCAGGTCACATGGCCGTGGCGCTCACCTCGTACACGGGCACCGTTTTCCGCACAACGCCGGCCTCCAGCTCCCAGAGCAGCACGACGCTGTCCCTCCCGGCACTGGCGCGACACAACACGGAACGGTTATCCCCACGCACATCACAACCAACCAACCACGACCGGTGTGAAAACCACCATGGCCGTTACGAACCCCTCGATAGCGACAGATGGACCACTGCGAGTCTCGTGACTTGGATCGTAAGTCTCAGTGGTGCTGGCTAAGTGTCTCCGGCATGGCCTTCATCAACCTCTTGACAATAGACACAGGCACGACTCCAGAGCTTACACCGCAGATCTCACCATTGCTAGTCCAGTGTCTGTGACACGGCCATTGTGAACCCGTGGATACCTGAGCAGCGTGCGCCCGTCGCAGGCGAAGCGCAGGGCGGTGACGGCGCTGTAGTGGCCGTCGAGGGTGGCGCTGCAGGCACCACTCTGCAGGTCCCACACGCGGATCTTGCAGTCGGAGGCGGCGGAGAGAACGCGGGGGCACGACGTGTCCGGGTGGAACGCCACCACGCTACGGAATGCACGCACACGGGTACAAAGGCAAAGATCCGCCGTACAGCCTTCGACAGACTGTTGGGGCAAGCGCTGCTATCGAGTAATACCAATGAAGGCCGATACGGCACACGAAGGGGGTGGGTGGCCAGCAACACAAACACACACATACACACGGGCACACACAAAGGCACACGCGCACAAAGATACACACACAAATACAGATGAGGGCACACAAACGCACGCACGCGCGAGTCCGAAGGCTCCGGCCGCCCACTCACCCGACGACACCCGACGAGCCGCGGAAGTTGTGGGTACAGTACTGCTTGACGATGTCCCACACCTTGATGGTGGCATCGCTGCTCCCTGCGCCACCGAGAAAAGCGTCACAAACGCACACACCGGCACGGGCGGGGGGGGGGGGTCACCGCGCTAGAGGCCGCCAGCGCGATTAGCTCCAGAGCGCGGAGAGCGTGGGACAACGGCTCGGGATAATCCCGCAGCGTAGTTTGAGTTTGTGTGGCCAGGGGGGGGAGAAACTCAAAAGAGAAGCGGGGACGAGTCTCGTACGCAAGAGTGACCGTAGCGCGCGGTTGGAGGGGGGATGATTGCGATTTATCCCAGTTGAGGGATTTGCAGGTGATTTTCAAATCTGGACCCTTGACGCCGGGCACACAGCGGCCCTACCCTTTTTCGCATGACGCCAAGGAATATTTAACGTCCACTGTGATGCGGAAAGCGGTATTGACCGGGGCGGCCGTTTGGATTGGAACCGTGACCCTCTGCAACAACCAGCGGTGAACGCGCTACCTCTGGGCCACGTCCCCATGAATAAAGGCAGGTGCAGTCTTGACACATATTGGCCTGGATCTGTCAAGTGCACAGTACCGGTTGGAATGAAGTGGGTTAGAATGAAGGGGATGGACCAAATCAAGTTGAGATGGGGGGGGGATGATAGGGTAAGGCCACATGGCCAGGGTGGTGAGAGTGTGTGGCGGGGGGGGGGGGGGAATGCCCAAAACACATGGCCAGGGTGGTTAAAACCAAGTGGTGAGAGTGTGTGGGGGGGGGGAATGCCCAGTCAACATGGCCAGGGTGGTTCAAACCAGTGGTGAGAGTGTGTGGGGGGGGGGGATGCCCAGTCCACATGGCCGGGATGGTTCAAACCAAGTGGTGAGAGTGTGTGGGGGGGGGGGGAGGAATGCCCAGTCCACATGGCCAGGATGGTTCAAACCAAGTGGTGAGAGTGTGTGGGGGGGGGGAGGAATGCCCAGTCCACATGGCCAGGATGGTTCAAACCAAGTGGTGAGAGTGTGTGGGGGGGGGGGAGGAACGCCCAGTCCACATGGCCAGGATGGTTCAAACCAAGTGGTGAGAGTGTGTGGGGGGGGGGGGGAGGAATGCCCAGTCCACATGGCCAGGATGGTTCAAACCAAGTGGTGAGAGTGTGTGGGGGGGGGGGGGAGGAATGCCCAGTCCACATGGCCAGGATGGTTCAAACCAAGTGGTGAGAGTGTGTGGGGGAGGGGAGGAATGCCCAGTCCACATGGCCAGGATGGTTCAAACCAAGTGGTGAGAGTGTGTGGGGGGGGGGGGGGAGGAATGCCCAGTCCACATGGCCAGGATGGTTCAAACCAAGTGGTGAGAGTGTGTGGGGGGGGGGAGGAATGCCCAGTCCACATGGCCAGGATGGTTCAAACCAAGTGGTGAGAGTGTGTGGGGGGGGGGAGGAATGCCCAGTCCACATGGCCAGGGCGGCGCCCACCGGTGGCCAGCAGTGTGGAGGTGGCGTCGAAGGCCATGCTGACGATGGGGGCCACGTGGACGGCCTTCCACGTGCGCTGGCACACCGCGGCGTCGCGCCACGCCCACTGCCGCAGCAACATCGCCCGGCTCGCCGTTACCATCACCTGCCAAGGTGAGGGGTGGGGGGGGGAAAGGTTGGGATGGGGGGGGGGTGGGGGGAAATCCGAGATGGTACTCATGGGAAGTGGTGTCCACCCGGTTGCACAATCAACCAGTGGAGCTCGATACAGCGACTCGTATAAAACACACAACACGAACAGGGCTCAATACTACAGTAAGATGACACAGTAAGTCCTCGTTTAACGTGGCAGATGCTCTCTTGAAAAGTGCCGGATTAGGCAAGAACAATTTCCCCATGAATAATGTAACGATAAAGTTTGGCGAAATACGATGCACTACGCGTACAAGGCGAGATGGTGGGACGAATACCCGAGGGTATACCGCCACTACGTCATTGCATCATTCCGCTTACTGTATCACGATACCGCTCGGCTGCGCAGCTCAAGAAAATAATTTGGCGTCGATGGCTCAAAAAACCGCGTTATAACGGTGCGCGTTCCGTGTGGTAACGGTGAACATTCCACATTATAACGGTGCGTGTTCCACGTTATAACGGTCCGCGTGATGATGGGGCACATTCCAAGTTATAACGGTGCGCGTGATGATGGGGCACATTCCAAGTTATAACGGTGCGCGTTCCACGTTATAACGGTCCGTGTGATGATGGGGCACATTCCAAGTTATAACGGTGCGCGTGATGATGGGGCACATTCCAAGTTATAACGGTGCGCGTTCCACGTTATAACGGTCCGTGTGATGATGGGGCACATTCCAAGTTATAACGGTGCGCGTTCCACGTTATAACGGTCCGCGTGGTGATGGGGCACATTCCAAGTTGTAACGGTGAGCGCGTTCCAGGTTGTGCGAAAGTGCTCCCGAATGGAAGCGATCCCTAATGGAAGAACCGTGTTATACTGAAAACGCTTTATTAGTGTGAACACCGCGCGCTAAACGAGAACTTACCATACTAACAGAGCTCCAGACAAACTCGTGAATCCCCAACTAATCAATACCGAACCCATTACTAACGGAACTCATATAACCCCCCCCCCACCTCCCGCCAGACACTCCACACACCTCATCGTCCGGGCTCAACACGAAGCACGTGACGTCCTCCTCATCCTCCTGCCGGGCAACAACGAGCAAATCATTATTGTTGGGACGAGCGCCACGATGGGAGGTTGGGCGAGAAACAAAAATGAGTGGGGAGTGCGCGTCCACACAAAAGACAAAGGACCCCCCCCCCCGTATAGCATTAACAGACTGTTGGGGCAAGTGCTATTAGCGAGTAGCACCTATGAAGGCCGCCACGGCACACGGGGGGGGGGGGGGGGCGGTAAGGTGGCCAGCACCACGCCCGACCTCCCTGTCTCTCCTTGGTGAGGCCGAGTCGACCTGGAGGAGGCCCAGGACCGGTTCAGATAGTCGGTGTGTGTGTGTGTGGTGTCCACGGGGTGTGCATGGGGTTTGCGTGCGGTGTGTGTGTACGGTGTACTCGGGGTGTGGTGGTGAACTTCCTCACCTGGGCGATGGTGTGCATCACTTTGCCCGTGCTCACGTCCAGCACCTGCACCTTGGTGCCGCAGGTGCACAGCAGGCGCTGTCCATCGCCGCTGAACTGAGCACAAGGGGGCACGTGGACGCGCGTTTACTCACCGACATGGGGACACACGGACGCAGGGACACGGGAATGCTGGGACACACGCGCATGAGACACGGGACACGCTGAAGCGTGTTTACACACTGACACGGAGAGACGTGGACGCAGAGACACGGGGGACACAAGACGCAGGGGCAAGCGACCGTGGGACGCAGAGACATAGGGCACGGGGGTAAGGGAAGGTGCGCGGGGACACGAGAAATTTACTTGGGTTAAAGGGTGCAATTATTACTATTCACACACAGTGGACACACACATATACATACCCTGATACAGTATTACTGGACATGCGAACACAGTAAATACACGCGCAATGGACAGACGAACATGCGTACACGTACACACACACCATCATACGCGTAAACAGGCATAAAATCTTGATTTAAAGCTTTTGTGACTGCAGGGATTCATATTCTTGGTTCTTTCGGTAAAGTCACGTAGAAGGGAAACAATAAAATAATAAAAATATAAAACAATAAAATTCTCACGACGTTTCGACTGCAACACAAGCACTCATTATCAGGTGATGATGATTGCTTGTGTTGAATAGGCATAAAATCGTCAAGAAGAATAAGCCGTCACACAAACTCCGGTCATCCTCGCCAGCGGCTTTTGGCTGCCCATCGAACAAAGATGGTCACCGCATCGCGCTCTTTCTGATGCGCTTCTGCGGCCGTCTGCAGCGCTCTTCCTTCCGGTATTAGCAAGCAACCGGGAGCGATGCACTTTTAATTCAACATCCAGATTGAAAGCTCACTTCTTTAGAACTGCTTTTTGCGTTTCGTTTGTCGTCCTTCCCCCCCCACGCCTCCGATTGGCACCGGTTGGCTAAGTACGGCGCAGAAAGGAGTTCAACATCCATGCATACTCTTTGGTTCTTTCGGTAAAGTCACGTGGGTAGAAAAATAATGAGATATCGCAACGTTTCGATCGCAACACAAGCAATCATGGGACAACCACAGCAAGGGAGGGGGGGGAGGCAGGGCAGAAAGTGGACCATACATACACACAGAGATGCCTTGTGTAGGCAGATGGGACAAATATTTGCGAGCACTATTCATGATGGAACAGAAGACGGATGGCGGTGGGGTGGGGGTAGTGATTTGAAAACACTATGTAACACAATTTTTGTTCATGGGTACTAAGTGTTATTGTTTTATTGCTTATGCCTAAAAAGTATAGAAAATGGCTATTATTCCCCACAAACTTTGCTTTTGTGACCAGGACTTTATGTGAAGGAATGACACAAATGTTTTCTCAATGAAAATAGGTCAATTTCAAAATATCACTATCCTGGTCACAAAAGCAAAGTTTGTGGGGAATAACAGCCACTTTCTGTACTTTTTGAGGCATCAGCAATTAGGAAATAACTCTTACTACTTCCCAGGAACAACAACAACAACAACAAAAAGTGTTTTGTTACGCAGTGAAATCACTGTCCCCGATCGCCTTTGTCTCCCCCAGTGGTGATGTTTACACACAGATCTCACCTGCACTTTGCCTCCAGAGTAAAAGGGCTCGAACTTGTAGGAGACCGTGTAACTGCAACGAGAATCAACGCAACTTGGGTCACACATTTGATACCTTCTGATATTCACGTCCGCACCACCGACGCGGCGTAGGAGAAACAGAGAGAGGGCTTCCTCTAGCGCAGTGCGGCTCTTCTTCCTTCTTAACCTGGGGTTCACGAAATCCCCTGGGGGTGCGTGATGCCCTCTCTGGGGGTGCGAGGCGTGGCCAGGTCGTTTGTGAAGAAGGTGAATAATCGAAACAAATTAAGCACGGGGCACGCGAGTTTGCAAATTACTTTGATTCGTACTCTTTGCTTTTTTCGGTAAAGTCACGTAGGTAAAAAAATAAAATTAAAATAAATGAAAACTAAATTTGTTGTTTTCATTTATTTTAATTTGATTTTTTTACCTACGTGACTTTACCGAAAAAACCAAAGAGTATGAATGCTTGCAGTCACGAAAGCTTCAAATCTAGAATTGCTTTGTTCCGTCAAACCCCGTGTATTTTAATCGGCGTTGTGCATTTTTCTTGAACGAATGCGAACCCAATGGGGGTGCGCCAAAGGCTGCAGTGAAGTTGAAGAACCACTGGTCTAGCAGTGCCTTGTTGACCAAGGGCCCGTAAATACAAACTCGTGTGTCGTGTCCTCCCGGATTCAGCGTTTGTTTACCTCTCTTCGCATATTTTAAATGAAAAGTTACGGGTTTCGGGCGCGTCTTTAGTTCCCGAAGCGTCTTACGTCTTGTAATCCCGAGTAAACAATAAACAGCCGAGCACATCTTAAGTTATGCAATGCACGCGATTAAAAATAAAAGCGATTAAAGGCGTACAACGAACGTCCCGACACTTTTGCGCAAATGCCGGGGAGAAGTCAAAACGTTGGGGCAGGAAAAAAAACTGCGAATAGAAGCTGGGATCAGATTTTTCTTTTTTTAAATGTACTGTATACATTATAACGATCGTCTGCCGTGGTTCAAATCCACTGCTCGATGGAGGCCTCCCAAAGCCGCCACTGCCGCCGCCGCCTAGAACACGGAACGGATTTTCATCGCTCCATCTCCTCCGCGCGGTGGTCAGCTCGGGACGCCGGAGTAATGCCACAAGAAGAGACAAAGATCCCCCGTGTAGCTTTAACAGACTGTTGGGGGCAAGTGCTGTTAGCGAGCGGCACCGACGAATGCCGGCATTGGTACGCATGGGGGAGGGCGGGTGAAGTGGCCAGCACCACGCCCGGCCGCCTTTGTCTCCCTCGTGGACAATGTTTACACATTGAGGCAGGTACCCATTTGAGGGTGAGTCGGCATCGAGGAGGCCCAGGACCGGTTCAGATAATCCTTGCCGGCTTCGTAGGGCAGCGCGCTAGCCACTGCACCACCGATTCCTCAGAGTAAAGATACTACGACTACTACACTAATACGAAAAATTGGAACTTATAAACAGCAGAAAAATTCGACCACTGCGACCATTGAGGCTCGGGAAACGAGCCCCCCCTAAGGGTGATGACCACAGCCTCCGATAGAACCTCTCCCGCTCGCGAACTTTCCACGCCTCGGCCACCCGCCAACTTCTCCCCGCACACACACGCACTTGTCTTTGAGCTGCAAGGGTTTCTCCTCGGCCATGGCGAGAGGCGCAGAAACGCCGGGCCCCGGTGCCGGGTTTCGGAGCGGCGGGGGGTGTCAGCGCGCCCGTACGGCGTAGAAATCCGCACGGGGGTGGTGGTGGTGGCACTCCGTTCTCTCCACGTGCTGGGCGAGTCGCGCGGTGCGGCGTGGGGCGCGGCGTGCCACGTGCGCCGCGCGCGGTGCGGGCGGACATCTTGGTAAGGGAGGGGGGGGATGGGCAACGCCCCCTCGGGTAGGGACACGCCCCCCGCATGCCCGAACTCCCCCCGCCCCCGCCAGACCCCAGACATCCCTGCTTGCCTGAACCCCCCAGCCTGCCTGAACCCCCCAGCCTGACCCCCACCTCCTGCCCGAACCCCCCCCTACGCCTGACCCCTCCCCCCACCTGAACCCCCCCTGCCTGACCCCCCCCCCATGCCCGACCCCCCCCATGCCCGACACCCCCCCCCCGAACCCCCCCCACTACCCCCGCCTGCGCCCCCCACCCCCACTAAGAGGTAGTTGTGGTGACGTCGAGCGCCTCCGTGTGTTTGTCAACCTGCTCCTCCTGCTCCTCCTTCCTCTTCCTCCTCCGCTTGTTCTTGTTGCCGGTGTCGATGCAAGAGGCGACGAAGGCAGTCGTGGTGGGATCGTTGCGATGGCTCCTTCTTCTTCGTGTTCGTGGATCCGGGGGCATTGCGTTGTTCACTGTGTGTTGTGGATGATGATCCCGCGGTCCCGCACGTTACTGGACCCCCCCCACCACCACCCCCGGGGGAGTCCTCAATGTGCCCATTTGTGCTGCAGCTACGCCAGGCGTCATCCGCCTGCTGGCGCTGCCCGAAGGTTCAGCGGATTTCCATTTATTTTGGTATAGCCCTGTGAGCCATTCGGCTCTTGAATCGGGTGCAACCGCAACAAACCAAAAAAACACGAACAAGAAAACATCTTAAAGTGACTTTGTGTGACTGTGCAAACAGAAAATCCATGAAAAAAACAGCAAAATATTCCTGAAATAGCACCGTACACCAACGCGGTGTGCAAAAATCCCAGTGGGATGCAAGTCAAACAACAACAACAACCACAAGACAACTTAGATTAAGGCCATCAGTCTAACTCCGTACTACAATAAACAAAACATGGCCAAAACAAAAAAACGTTTTCGAAATCACCAAAATAAAGCCATAAATGCAATGTAACAGTGATCACAGGAACTGTGACCGGTTCAGAAGTGGAAACCATCAACTTCGTGGAAAGATGGAACCCCAGGAGGGGGTCGTCTGCGTTCCACGCGAGACTTTCGCGAGAAATAATACTCCTATTATATAACTTTATCGATCTGTGATGAACGCTATCACTTTCCGTCGTTTTCATGCAGGGGGTCGCTGTAAACCTACGCGCACCCCCTGCATGAACGACGGAGGCGCATGGACAAGACTTTCGATTACGTTAGTATCGATCTGCAGACGGCGGTCTTCTCTTGCACGATCAGCAGCTCGGTGTCGCCTTATCTCGATCCCCGCAATCCCAAACGGGTGAAAGTCCCCATCGAACCGAACCCCCCCCCCCCCCCACCACAGCAAGGCCATCATCTACTTAACGACGAGAGAAAATTCACACGCGAAATGTCCTTTTCAATGAAGTCTTCCAGATGTAAAATGATATGAGCTTTGAATGAAGAAATGCAATTGTCTAATTCAAAACATAATACAATTCAAAATGTTTTGCATTTAAAAAAAACTTCTAAAACGGAGCGACGTTCGTGCGCAAATTTTTTTCCAAGCCAGGAAAGTCACGAGTATATCCATAATGAAGAGGTGGGGGGGGGGGGGGGGGGTGTTACATCGTGTAAATATCTAAATGCATGACTGTCTCAAACCGTGCGGGTTTAACCCCGTATTGTTGTACGGGGGAAATTTGAGTTTTCAGGTCCATACGGGCACACAAACAATGTTCTTTTTGTGTCAATTTGTTTGTGTTTCTCCCTTGTGATGGGATGGAGATGTATAAGGGGCACGGGGTGACCAGTAAGGTCGTAATAAGGCGAGGGCACTGATAAGGGGTTGACGGGTGCGTAAATGTGTCGTAAACCCCGCCGCCACCCGACACGGCCAATTGAGTGTGTCGCGAGAACAAACCCGAGCCCAGTTCGTGCACCAACTCACCGCCTAGCTGTGTGTTGGAGAGTAAACACCACAACAACAACACAACAAACAACATTTACAATTCAAGTTTCCGTGACGTTCTACAGATAACTTGACGACTCGCAAGGGGCCGTCCATAAATGACGTCACGCACCTAGGTGGGGGGGGGGGTCAGACATTTGTGACGATGTGTGACGAGGGGGGGGGGTTTGAGAAATGTGACGTCACATCAAAATGCGCAATTTTAAATAAATATAGACAACACGTTCTACTTAATTAAATATACTTTTAAATAAATGTTTTCTCCTACAACATCAGAGTGCAGCGCCACATTAAACACGCACTACAATGACAATAGTTTAAAGCGATTTGAAGCATGTTTTATTTTGGGGGGGGGGGCAGAGCATTGTGACGTCATATTTGAGGGGGGGTCTAACTTTTTGTGACGCCGTGTGCCGAGGGGGGGGGGGTCAAAAAATCGTCCAAAATCGCGTGACGTCATTTATGAACGGCCCCCAATACGCTCGCGGATCTGCGTCGTTCGCTACCCCTCCCCCCACACACACAAAAGCAAATGGGAGCGTCCCCCTTAGCAACATGGCCACCGGCTCGTCACGTCGCGGAAAGGGGGGGGGGGGGAGTTAAAGACGTCGTTACAAGACGTGCCCGCCCACTCGATTGGCTGCGTTCAGTGAGAAGTGGGTGGGGGGGGAGATTGACGCGATCCAATGAGCGTGCGGATTCTCGGACGATACCACTTTCCGTTCACTCAATTAAAAAAAGGGGGGGGGTGACGTTACTGCGTGGTCCCAAAAAAATATGAAACTAGTTTATAATATAATTATGCTGAAATGGGTTTTTTTTCTCTTTTAACATTTTTATCTACGATCAGACACTGACAACTATTCCCCAAAAAAATATTTTTCTGCATAAAACAACATTGTTAACGCTTTTATTCTTGCATATATTACGTAGTATGTTTTTTTGTTTGCATTTTGACTGCATGTATTGTGGTTAATGCAGACATGAATCCTTGTAAAAAGGTTTCAGTTTTGTTGCCAGAAAAAAGGGGAAAACCCCTATTATTATGGCTTTATTCTTCTTATATTTAAAGACGTACCCATCGGAAAGCGCTCAAATTAAAGATCCTGTTATTTTTTTAATAGCAAGAACACAAATTAATTTACTTAATTCTCTACGAGGGGAAGCTCTCCTATCTTTTTCCGTTTTCGAATTATTCAGATTTTAACATCATAAATTGCGTTTTTTGTGTGTAAAAAACCCACTTGAATCCAAAATATCTGAAGACAATAAAAGATAGACCAGTGGTTCTCGCTTTAATTGTAGTTGCTGTTTAAGGCTCTGTCAAACGAAAAAAAACGCAGTAATATTTTGAATGGGTTCTGAATGACATGACGCACAAATAAGTTCATGGGGCTCTTAAAATCGATATTTGAGGGCCTTAAAATAAAAAAAAATGTCAGATTTTAAGATTTTTCCTGTTCTGTCCTAAAAGCTACCTATGTACTAAATTTTAGCTTTTACTTTGTCGAGAAGTACCACAGAGGTTTTTGAGACATAGAGCTAAAGGTCTTTATTTATATAAACAATGTTTTATTTCATTTTACCAGGTAAGGCCACTGGAACTATGTAGCTCTTTTTCAGAAGCGACCTGGCCAAACGCGATGAAAGCTCAACGAAGTGGAAATTTATAGCAGCCAACTCACTCTAAACTCGTCGTGTTGATTCTAAATGTGGAGGGGAAAAGCGGAGGATCCAGAGGAAAAAGCCACACGACCACGGGGAGAGAGAAACTCGAAATATACAGCAGGCGTCAGGCTCAAACCCACGACCTCCTGTAGACCAGGTGAGGTCGTTTAGTTTACATTTATTGATCTGGAAAGCCAATACGGTCGATGGACCAACTTTTTTATTGTTTAACGTGGAGACAGAGTGCTGCTTAACCAAGATGCTGCACAACAACGCAAAATGATAGCATACAATAATATAAATACAATATTTAGGCATACCCCGCTTTGCGTCGGGGATACACTTTCCCCTGCAGGGGGCAGAATAAACTTAATCTATAATTACACTGTCACATTTTTTTGTTGTTCCTGGGGAGTAAGTGTTATTTCCTAATTGGTTATGCCTCAGAGGTACAGAAAATCGCTATTATTCCCCACAAACTTTGCTTTTGTGACCAGGACAGTGATATTTTGAAATTTGCCTATTTTCAATGAGAATTCCAGATAGATTCAGCGCTGAGTAAACTTGGAGTAACTTCTAGAACATTCCAGAACTTTCCAGTAATATAAATAGTAGTTTAAATACAGGGGCCACAAGCCCACCAGTTCAGTTTAGTTCCAGCTGCCCAAGTGGATACATATCTGCATTTTTCTGAGATGGCATCAAGAGGCTGCAAGCATCCGGCAGACGCATTTTGCTACGTCTGCGGCCAATTTATCAAGACAAGAGCGAAAAAGTACTCTGTGGGGGCATCTGCTAAGATGTGTGAGGCCTACAAGGCATATTTCGGCATTCCTGTCGAGGTTTAAGACAAACCCTGGGCACTTCATTTCACTTGCGAGCAATGCAAAACAACTCTGGAAGGTAAGATGGACAACTGTTGCTCGGAATTTTACGTTATAAAATTTGTTAACATTTTAAAAATTGTAAAAGTTTTTAATTTGAAAATGTTTTACAATTTTCATCGTTATTCAAACAATATATAATACAAGCTTTTTGCCCGTCCAAGGACGGGTGTATTGCAGTAAATCTAAAAACTTGCAAGCGAACAGCAGACCGCGACGTGATATGTTAATTGCATCAATGCGTGTGCAATTTGTAAGGGCGTGGTGACACAGACCTTTTATTTTAAGGTTATAATCCCTTGTTCATCATGACGTCCTTGTTACTTTGATGTCTCAACAGCGTCACGGAGATCACGTGACGTGAGGGTTCTGCCTTTGCGGTGAGGGTTGTGAGTTGACGCCGAGGAGGGGGGAGGAGGCGCCTCGCCCCCCCCCCCATGTGGAGTGACG